ACAAAACCCCATCTCAAAAATATATGGCCAAGCATGGTGGCTCACAACTATAATCCCAGCACTTTGGGAGGCTGAGGTAGGAGAACCATTTGAGCCCAGGAGCAACATAGTGAGACCCAGTCTTAACCAAAAAAAAAAAAAGAAAAAGTTAGCTGGGCATGGTGGCATGAACCTGTGGTCCCAGCTACTCAGGAGACTTGCTTGAGCCCAGAAGGTTGAAGCCGCAGTGAGTCACGATTGCACCACTGCATTCCAGCCTCGGTGACATAGTGAGACCCTGTCATTCATTCATAAACAAATAAATTAAATAAATAAATAATTATCTGTGGTAATGTATCTTGTATATAAGTAAAACAGTGAATGCTTTAAATTTTTAAAATTTATCTAAAAGTGATAAGATTAAATCCTTGACCACCAGGATTTCTTAAAATGCCCCTGCAGAGATCTGAACTAGTCTTAATATCACAAGAAAATGTCAATTTAGTAGAATTCTATATTTGCAGCACATGCAATAAAAAAGCAGGATGAAAGTAACTCCTGGCCAGGTGTGGGTGGCTCAAGCCAGTAATCCCAGCACTTCGGGAGGCCAAGGCAGGCAGATCACCGGAGGTGAGGAGTTCAAGACCAGCCTGGCCAACATGGTGAAACCCCATCTCTACTAAAATACAAAAATTAGCCAGACATGGTGGCAGGTGCCTGTAATCCCAGCTACTCGGGAGGCTGAGGCAGGAGAATCACTTGAACCTGCGAGGTGGAGGCTGAAGTGAGACACGATTGTGCCACTGCACTATAGCCTGGGCGAAAGAGCAAGACTACCTCTCAAAAAAAAAAAAAAAAGTAACTCCCAAGAGAAACACTGATTATTTCCTTTAGTACAGTTTGGATAATAATATATTTATTTAGGATTCTAAAGGCTATGTAAAAACAAAATCTAAAGCTGTTCACTTAGTCTGTTCTACCTATAAAGTACCATCTGCTATAAGGTGATTTCAAGAATGATTTATGAAGAGAAACATGGCTTCTAAGGTAAACCCAAATAAAGTTACAGATGAGTTTATAAAGTAAACCCAGTTCTGGAGTTACTAGAAGAAACAAGCAGAAGTACTACCCCCCCTCTCCCCGCACCCCCGCCCTTTTTTTTTTTTTTTTTTGAGAAAGAGTCACGCTATTGCTCAGGCTGGAATACAGTGGCACAATCACGGCTCACTGAAGCCTTGACCTCCCTGGGCTCAGGTGATCCTCTGAACTCAGATTCCTGAGTAAGCTGGAACTACAGGTACATGTCACCACACCCGGTTAATTTTTGTACTTTTTGTAAAGACAGGGTTTTGCCATGTTGTCCAGACTGGTCTTGAATTGGGCTTAAGCAATCCACCTGCCTTGGCCTCCCAAAGTGTTAGGATTATAGGCATGAACCACCATGCCCAGCCAGAAGTTCTATCTATTTTGATACATAATAGTTCTAGATTTTATATATGGTTTATTGAACAAAATTAACATCACCTGGCAAAATAATAGAGAATTAAATTCAGGAAAAAAAGAAAACCACCATTCAGGAGCATTTGAAATACATTTACAACTTTAAGCTGGTGGAGATATTACCTTACATCTGGATACAAGTCCTACCTAACAGCACCATAATGATCTTGTCTGTATGAGGATTCAGCCAAGACACTCCACATTTCTTTGTTGACCAGGAACAAGGAAAACTGGACAGAAAAAGAATTACAAAACCAAGTCAACAAAACAAGAAGTGGTTTGTTCCAAGTTTAAAAGCATTAATGTTCTAAACAATGAAACAAGGCAAATTTATTTAGTAATAATTCGCGAAACTTCACAGTAAAGGCACCTACCAGTAGCTGTGGAAGGAAATGCTACCACATGAACTACTAAATAGCAACTTCCTACTCTACTATCCATACTATCAGTTGTTGCTCACCAGCAGATGACAGTAACAACATTCAGTTCTTTGGTAGAAAATGAGGGAATTCAGAAGACTGTAGACTCTAGACCCACCTCTACCAGAGTATGAAATCTTGGCATTTCTCTGAGTCATATTCATGTCACAACAGCTTTATCTACAAAATCAAACTTAGTCAATAAAAAATATATACAATAAAATAAACTAGGTCAGGTGTGGCTGCTCATGCCTGTAATCCCGGCACTTTGGGAGGCAAAGGCAGGAGGATCACTTGAGCTCAGGAGTTCAAGACCTGCCTGGGCAACATGGCAAAACCCTGTCTCTACAAAAAATACAAAATTAGCCAGGCGTGGTGGTGCATGCCAGAGGCTGAGGTGCATGCCAGAGACTTGAGTCCAGGAGGTCGAAGCTGTAAGGAGCCATGACCCTGCCACTGTACTCCAGCATGGGCAAGAGTAAGACCCTATCTCAAGAAAACCACCAAAAAACCCAAAAACCAATAAAAGAAACGATAAAGTACTATAACTAAGGTACTATGCATATATTAATAATCGTTATAGTCAAATTTTTGTTTATAAATTAATCTATAAGCCTACGTTCAAATAAGGAGTCTTGAACTGACTTTCATATTATAAAGTTACCAATTTCTGGCCGGGCTAGGTGGCTCACACCTGTAATCCCAGCACTTTGGGAGGCCGAGGTAGGAGGATCACAAGGTCAGGAGATCGAGACCATCCTGGCTAATACGGTGAAACCTGATCTCTACTAAAATTACAAAAAATTGGCCGGGCGTGGTGGTGTGCACCTGTAGTCGCCTGTAGTCCCAGCTGCTGGGGAGGCTGAGGCAGGAGAATGGCATGAACCCAGCAGGCGGAGCTTGCAGTGAGCCTAGATAGCACCACTGCACTCCAACCTAGGCGACAGAGCAAGACTCCACCTCAAAAAAAATAAAGTTACCAATTTCTAGAATAAATTCCGAAAGTACAGCCTGTGACAGGAGATGCCCTACTCTCTTTTCTGCAGCTTATCAACAGTGTGCTTTTTCAGAACCTTACACATACAAAATTAATAGTAACTGTATAGATTTTATATCAGAGATAACCCCTTCAATATATGGCGATTCCACCTATGGATTCACGGGAGTGTGAAAATGTACCAGAGATACAGTCAGAAAAAGCCATGATCAGCCAGGCACAGTGGCTCACGCCTGTAATTCCAGCACTTTGGGAGGCCAAGGCGGGCGGTTCACCTGCGGTCAGAAGTTCGAGACTGGCCTGACCAACATGGAGAAACCCCATCTCTACTAAAAATATAAAAGTAGCCGGGCGTGGTGGCGCACGCCTGTAATCCCAGCTACCCGGGAGGCTGAGGCAGGAGAATTGCTTGAATCCGGGAGGTGGAGGTGGTGGTGAGCCGAGATTGTGCTATTGCACTCCAGCCTGGGTGGGCAACAAGAGAGAAACTCCCTCTCAACAAAAAAAAGAAAGAAAGAAAAAGCCATGATCATGCTGACAGATGGTATGTATAAAAAGGTTTATGCCAGCCTGACCAACATGGTGAAACCCTGTCTCTACTAAAAATACAAAATTAGCCAGGGATGGTGGTGTGCGCCTTTAATCCCAGCTACTCCAGAGGCTGAGGCAGGAGAATCGCCTGAACCCGGGAGGTGGAGGTTGTGGTGAGCCGAGATCGCGCCATTGCACTCCAGCCTGGGCAACAAGAGCCAGACTCCATCTCAGGAAAAAAAAAAAAAAAAGGTTTACAGCCGGGGGCGGTGGCTCACACCTGTAATTTCAACACTTTGGGAGGCCGAGGTGGGTGGATCACCAGAGGCCAGGAGTTCGAGACCAGCCTGGCCAGCATGGTGAAACTCCATCTCTACCAAAAATACAAAAATTAGCTGGGTGTGATGGCACGCACCTGTAGTCCTAGTTACTGGGGAGGCTGAGGCAGGAGAATCCTTGAACCCAGGAGGTGGAGGTTGCAGGGAGCTGAGATGCCCCACTGCACTCCAGCCTGGGCGACAGGAGACTGTCTCAGAAAAAAAAAAAAAAGTTTACATGACTTATCATTACCAAATCGGTATGTTCCCTCAGAGCAGAAACAGAAATTCAGAAACAGAAATCATGCAAGTGGTAAACAAAGTGAGGGGGAGTAATTAGAGGTCAAAGACCCCGGGAAGGGGTGTATGAATTAAGTCCTCCATAGAGAAATGGTGAGGAAGGATCTACAACGACATTTAAAATAAACTTTTTAAATTGAAATGGAGTATAACACAGAGCAGAGCTTCAACCACAAGTCTCCTATTGGCTTGACACTCAGAATACCGTATCTTTCTTAATGACTAACTAACTGAGTCTAATTGAAAAATGAGAATACTTGTGAGTACAGTCCTTTTCAGAGGTGTATTCAGGATTTCAGGAGTCGGGGAGGCAAGTTGAAGAGCTTTCAACTTTATGCAACTTTGAGGAAAGAAGGCTACGGACGGGTGAGGTATTAGCAAATGGAAATCCAGGGGACGGTCGTGGGCGGGAAGTATCGGCCACACAGGACCTAATGAGGCCCAGGACCCTGCTCCTGACCTCGGTGGCAGCACTCCCCTCCCTGCCGGCTCCCTGGCGTGCTGCTGCTCTTGGGAGGCAGGCAGCCTCGCCCCCAACCACCGCCCTCGGGAAAGTCATCAACAGCCTATCAAAAAACGTTTGGCCTGGGACGTCCGCTGGCTGCGCTATCCCTTACAGAATCAGCAAGGATGAAAAGCCAGGAAAGGGATGGAACTCAAAGAAGTCGGGCAGTGCCGGGAGCGGCGGAGGCGGAGCGGGGGCGAGAGCTGGCAGCAGCGGTCACGCTGGCTGCGGCGTGGAGGCACGGAAAAGGGCTGCGGCTCAGACCACCGCGGCGGGGCGGGCGGACCAGCGGGGATCTAAGCTTCCTGAAGCAAGGGTGCCCCGACCGCGGCGACTCCTGACACACCCGGGCCGCAGGACGGAGCGCTACCGCCCGGGGCAGCCAGCTCGCGCCTCCCGCCCGCAGAGCCCCGGCCTCACATAGATCAGGAGCCGCCGACTCTCGCACTCACCGCGCGCGCGCCACCCTGGCGCGGCAGCCCGCCGCCCTCGGCGCGACCTCCGCCCCGCCCCGCGCGCGGCGGCGTCTGGGCCACGTCACGGGCGCGTGCGCTCTCCGCGCGCCGTCCGCGGCGGGGGCGGGGCGTTGCCCGTTCGGCGTCCAGGTTCCCTTGGAGACGGAGCCGGCCAGGGTGGCGGCGGCTGGGCAACGATGACAGCGGAGCCGCTGGGGAAGCCAAGATGCCGTCGAAGGGAAAGGACAAAAAGAAAGGCAAGAGCAGAGGCAAAGACACTAAGTAAGGAGAAGCCGCGCGAGAGTCCCCTTCTCCCTGGGCCTGCCTGAGATTTCGGGTCTAGGGCTGGCTACCTGGCGTCCCCCGCGCCGGCCCCCTCGGACCCTCTTGGCTCTCCCGGCTTGTGAGGATTACAGTTCCCATGTCCATAGTCTGACACATCTCTACTATGTGGTTCAGATGATCTTAAACGTGTAGCGGATGTATAAAGTATTTCCTTGGGCATTTTCAGAGATCTCTTTTGGTTCAAAGGGGACACCTGAAGTATTTTACCAAGTTGGGTAATTGTTGAGGTTTTCCCAAACTGATCCGAGCCACTGAGGTGGGTAATGTTCTAGCACTAACCCCTTACAGGCCTGGAGTTGCTGCTAGATTGCTACTAGCCCTGTTGGGGAACCCCGGTGGTTTCTGGACACGTTGGAGTCCTATGTGGTGTGCAGCAATATCATATATGGGAACACAGAGTTGGCACCAAACTTGAGATGTTTGTAAAGTAACTTAAGAGAGTAATTCATGTTCAATACAGAAAGTTTGGGAAACATGGGAAGTACCAAAAGAGAAAACAAAAATAACCTGTAGTCTCATTATCCAAAAATAAACACTACTATATTTTGGAGTATTATTTTATTTTTTAATAAAATAATAGCCCAATGTACATACTTATATGTGACTTTTTTCTTCCCATGTATTAATGTAAGTATTATCTTATGGGTTTTTTTGTTGTTGTTGTTTTTACATAGCTGCACAGTTTGTCTAGCCCTTAAAGTGCCAAGGGCTCATCACATTCCTAGAACTCACTCATATATGTTTTCAGATTTTGACCATGCTTCTACAGTACACATTTGAACAATGAGGAACACTGACGGTAAGAGACCTTATTCCTTGGATTTTCCATGACCCATTGTTTGAGAAACCTGGCTTTGTTTCTACAGTGAATATAAGTGGTCCTATTAGAGTGTCTAATTTCTTGCATCAAGTACTTTTTTTTTTTTTCCTTGAGACCAAGTTTTGCTCTTGTTGCCCAGACTGGAGTGCAATGGCGTGATCTTGGCTCACTGCAACCTCTGCCTCCTGGGTTCAACCAATTATTCTGCCTCAGCCTCCTGAGGAGCTGGGATTACAGGCACCTGTCACCACGCCCAGCTAATTTTTTTATTTTTAGTGGAGACAGGGTTTCACCATGTTGGCCAGGCTGGTCTTGAACTCCTGACTTCAGGTGATCCACCCGCCTTGGCCTCCCAAAGTGCTGGGATGACAGCCTTGAGCTACCATGCCCTGTCACATCAAGTACTTTGAGCCACTTAGATTTGATACCTGGATGGTCGTAGTGAGATGGTGTATCACCAGTGCCTAAATCATACCAGAAAGGGACATCAAGAGTTATAACAGGCTGAGGGGTTGGGAATGGAGCTGGCCTTAATTTGAAGAGAACAAAAGGTGAAACTGGGACTTTGGTTCTCTCCACTGCAAACCCATTACCTCTGTGGAAGAGGACTGAGAACCAGAGGTAGGAAAGTGGATGTGGAGGGTGGCAGTATAGAAAGGTCCACATATACATATGTGTGAAAATATTTAGAATTCAAATACAGGTGAAATATTCTTAAATATTGTGTACATATTTGTATATCATGGTACCTACCATATATAAGGAGTAGTGTTTTGTTAATGCTCATACAATAAATATTTAGAAAAATCTCTTCCTTTACCACTTTAATCTTTGAATCCCTCCTTTTTCCTCTCCACCTCTATATAAATGATTATGGTTTCTCAGGCATCCTTAAAGCCTGGTGGGCGGGGCATCGTGGCTCATGCCCAGCACTTTGGGAGGCTGAGTGGAGGAAGATCACTTGAGCCCAGGAGTTCAAGACCAGCCTGAACAACATAGGAAGACCCTGTCTCTACAAAAATTTTTGTTAAAAATTAGTTGGGCATGCTAACTCATGCCTGTAGTCACAGTTACTCAGGAGGTTGAGGTGGAGGATTGTCTGGGCCTGGGAGGTCGAGGCTGCAGTGAGCTGTCCTGGGCAAATGGCAAAAACCTATTTCTACGGACAACAATACAAAATTAGCTGGGTATA